CTGACTAGCATACAATCAATAGGATTAACCCTAAACCTGCTTATTTATGTTGGTTGAATATTAATGCACAAATAAACTATTATTGGCGATCACTTGAATTATAATCACAATTAACCCTAAACAAGATTATTAAATATCTTATTAAGCGTGATTGCAACTACCAATTCCCTTTAACCTGCAATAAAAGGTGATCAAGCAATAACAATAATAAATAATACACATCAAGCAACATAATAAATAACCATCATCAATCATAATTATAAATGTTAGAAAGAACATAGGAAGCATCATACTTTTAATCATGCTTAATATTAAAAACACCCTAGACATGATACTAGGAATCATCAAAATAACAATTTAAGCATGATATCTACATCATGAAATCAATTAAACCATTAAAGTACTTACTTGGATGCCTCGTACCTCTTTATAATTACAAAACACACACGTTAGTAACTTCAAGGAAAATAATAATCAAAACAATTAAATTAAATAATTGAAATAGAGATTTGGGACCAAACCCTCAGAAATTAAAACCTTTCACGTCTAGGGCGAAGGCAACTTCGAATATGGCTAGGTGTTTCTAGATCTTGTGAATGCGGAATTTTGTATTAAAGAGCAAAGTTTAGAAAAGAATGCTAAAGAATTAATGTTATTGAAAATTGATGAATAAAAAACTTAAGAATAAAGAGAATTAATTAAAAGCCTTGATGAATGAAGAGAGTTGATGAGGATTGATTGTAGATGATGAAGATAGTTGGTGAATTCGTCCATGAAAACGGAGTTTTGATACGATATTTATAGAGAAAAACATCCAAAAAAGATAATTTATCAAAACAGAGTCTAAAGACCAAAAAAACACCTTGGCGCCAGGACTAGTGGCTAGCGCCAGGCGCCAATCCTGGTTCCAGGCGCCAAGTCCTGGGGTTGGACGCTAAACCGGCTTTTAACGCGTTTTCGATATTATGATAAAATTCCCGTACTGGAAGATAAAATAATATAATTTCAGTCGAAAATGCTATTTGATCTTGATTAAAACTCTGAAGAATCCTAATTGAATTAAGAATGATAAGAACCTTTTAGAATAGTCTAGAAGAACAAAACTATTCCTAATTATATTAGGAATGATAAATCATATTAGGCCCTCCCCTTGATCATTGGGCCGTACTTAAAACTCAAACTAGGCCCAGTTTAGTAAATTGGTCATAACTTCCTCAATATTCATCGGAATTGGGCTTATAATATATCGTTGGAAAGGTCTTTGCAAGCCCCATCCAACTACACCACTATTGGACCCATATCATGGACCAACCAAACTGGATTGGCTGTTTTCTTAAAATAAAGTTTTCAAAAACGGAGAGAAGAGAAAAGAAAAGAAAAGAAATAAAACTTTCCGCAACACTAGACCTTTCCACACTTTCGTTTCATTCGATTATGATTCGACGTGAAAGGCACTCATCGCTGGGTTCGGTTTTGGGGAGACACAAATGGGTGTCTACAGGCATGCAGAGGGAAGAAAGAAAAAAAAATGCTGAAGCATCCAACTGACTCCTCGCAGTGGAAGAACATTGATTTGAAGTTTGAGAAATTTGGTGATTGTAGACACCTAAAAATGTCTCCCCAAAACCAAACCCGATGATGAACAACCTTTCACCATCATTATTGGTCAGTTTGAGTATTTAATTTTTGGAGTTCTTAAATCTATGTTCTATCCAATACAGTTCATAAACCAATCCAATTCCTAACTCATTTCCCTTAACCATAACTTATTTTCCTCTATTCGTGTCCACATTGCAAAACCGAAAGAATTTGATTTTTTTTGTCTTATAGTTTTGGTACAATTATTATTTGGTTGGATAGGTATTGAAATAAGCTTTCCAACCATATAAAATAAGCCCAATTTCGATTTAAAACGAAAAAGATATGAGCAAAACACTAAACTCAGCCCAAAGCCGACACCCTTCTACTAAAACGACCATATATTAAAATATACAAATTATTTTGACTGATTTTAATTGGTTTGGAAAGTAGACTTGATAATCTTTCCAATTATATATTATATGCTTTATTCCGAGTTACGGATCAAAAGTTATGATGATTTTAAAAACGTGTAAAAAAAACTGGAATTACCGCGCACAGTGTTAAAGCACTGTGTCACGGCGTCTGATGACGTGGCACAGTGCCTAGGGCCGTGATGCGTTAATTTAAAACGTGTAATTTAAGACGTGTCACGATGCGTTTTTCCATGTTTTTAATCCACCGTGTCACGGGAATATTGCCGTGCCACAGGATTTTGCACCGCGTCATGGTAAAATTTCCCGTGTCACGGTGCCCATTCCGTGACACGGGGCTATTCAGTGTAATTTCCGCGCACTTTATGTTACCGTGACAAGGTGTAATGTACCATGCCACGGTGGACATTGCCGTGTCACGGTACGTGTGCTGTGTCACGAAATTTTCTTGTGTCTTTTCCGCGTAAATCCTTCACGCGTTTTTATACCCTTTGGTCAAATATTTCCCGCGTCACTCTAGTTTCCCTTGTGTCACGGTAATCTTTGCCGTGTCACGGTATTCTTTGCTGTGTTGTGGTATTCTTTGCAGTGTCGCAACAACCTTTTTTAGGGTTTTTATCTTTTTAGGGTCCGTGTGTTCCCTCTACTCATTTTCCCTATAAATATATAGGACTCCCCTTTCTACAGTTTGGGACATCAAATCCTCCTCTCTTTCTTTCTTTTATACCAAAAATCATTATCTTCTCTCTCTCTCTCTCTCATATTCTAAGCCTTAAACCTATATTCCTAATTACACCATTCTTCCCTTAAGCACTCTAAGGAGTCTATACTAAACTCGAGGTTTAGTCCTTAAACCAAGGCGTGAAAGGTATAAAAACTGAAGGTTTGGACCAAATCAAATCAACATTTAATTTAATTTAATTTAATTTAATTTAATTTTCATTGATTTATATTTCTTTTATTGAAGTTTCTAACAATTTATTCATGATGTAGCAATTTAAAGGAACGCGCAGAATGTGTGTAACTAATTAATTTAAGGATATTTTGGATTTTAACACCTTACAAAAGGCTGAAAATGTTTTTTAACACCCCCCAAAAAAAAACTTTTATTTTAACACCTCCCAAAAATATAAAAGTTGGAAGTTAACACCAGTTAACGATTTCCGTCACGGAAATTTAACGTGGGTCCCACAAATTGGCTTGAACTTCAATTTTCACCCAGCAAAACACGAAACTTCTTTCTTCATTGAATTCGCAGCAACCTTCTGCATTGAATTCTTTCTGAACCTTCATTGATTTCGCTTTTGAACCAAAGGAGATCTTGGCTGAGAAGTGGAGTGTAGGGTGGTGTCAACGTTGGAGAAGATAAGCTCAGGAGGGTTTCTTCATCATCTTCTTCAACTACAAAAGTGCGAAAGCCGCTTGAAATTCACAGAAAATAAGGTAAAATTGCTCTCCTTTGATAGCAATTTCGTCAATTACTGGTGCTTCATTGCTGTAAACCTTGCAATAATTGGGTAATTAGGGTAAATTTTGGGACCACAGTAGGAAAGCCTTGATAAATCAATTTCTGTAACTGACTATGCGACTTAGGTTAATTGGATTTCGTAATTGAAAGTAGAGATTAATTAAGGTGGTTTATTGTTAATTAAACTAGCAAGTGTGGTTTGTTGATTAATTTATGTTACTGAGCACCTACATTGGCTTGTATATGTTTATTTTCAATTTTTTTATGTGTTTGTTTGTGTGGCTGTGATGGATTTGTTTATTCGTATTGTGCATGTATAGTTACATGGCTTTTAATATGTTTTATATGTTTTTCACTGGTGGGTAGATAATGGGTGACAAGGATAGTTTGGTTGACATCTGCCTTAGAGTGGGAGGTGCTTTTGTCCCTAAAAGAGTAACCAAAAACAGGCAGCTGCTGTGTTGGTGTGGTGGTTGGTGTTACTGGAAGAGGAAGGTTCAAGTATCTAAGTTGGATGTGCATTTGATTAGAACAGCTGCAATTCATGGTTTTGTTAATGGTGATATGGATGTGCCTATGCATTACAGCTGTTGGTATAGGCAGAAGGGGAAAACCTTTAACACTGGGAAAAGGGAACTAGTTAACAGTGAAGAGGTTAAGGGCCTTTTGGAGACAGTAAATGAAGAGGGGTATGTTGAGGTTTTTGTAACAACAGAAGCTCCTAGTCAGCCCATACAAGAGGCCCAACCCAATCCTGCAAAGACAAAAAAAAAGGATAAGAAGGTAGAAAGTTCAAATACATCGACTATTAGGAGGAGCCCTAGGTTTAAGAAGACAGAAACTGAACAAAGGGAGGAGAGTCCACCTAGGAAAGCCTCAGCTAATGCTAAAGTGTTGAGGTTTGATGAAGAAAAGGATGATGGATGTGAAGGATCTGGTTATTCAAGTTCAGATTTGAGTGATGAGGGACAAGATTGGGAACCTGGTGAAGAAGAATTTGATGAAGGGGATGAGGAATGGTATATTGAAGGGTCAAAGGAGATCTTGGCCAAAGTGAACAAGAGCCTTAGGAAAGGTTTGGAGAGTGCAGTAGATGACAGGGTTGGCAAAGATAAGAGAGTAGAGTTGAGAAATGATTTGGATGTTGGAAAACCGAAGGTGAATCCAGAAAGTGATGCTGATTCAGATGATTCAAGGAGTTTGTGTGGATCTGATGAGGAACAGGACTATGCTCCTTGGTTTAATGCTGATGTGGACTTTGACAACCCAATCAAGTTGAAGTTAAATCAGAAATTCAGTAATGCTTCAGTCTTGAGGAGGGCCTTAAGACTTCATGCCATTCAAAACAGGTATGAGTTCTACTACTTGCATAATGACAGTAAAAGGATTACAGTTCAGTGTAGATATAGATGTGGCTGTGAGTTCAATAGCTACACTTGTAGAATGCCTGCTTGTACATGTGTGGGGGGGGTAAAGTGTCAGTTCAAGGTGTTTGCATCAAAACTTGTTAAGCACTGGGAGAGAGTCAGAATGAGGGAACCACTACCCCCTTCTGTTAAGGTGCAACCTGGGAGACCAAAGAGCAAAAAAAGGAAGCTTGAGCCAGGAGAATGTTCTTCTTCAGGTGGTCAGGCAAGTACCAAGAGGAAGAAGCAATGCAGCAACTGTGGGGGATATAGGCATTATGCCAAGACTTGCAAAGTACCTGCTGCACCAGCTACAGAGCTGATAAAGTCAGCAGGCAGACCCCCACTGAACACTCCTTGGATGGTGGAGGAGAGGAAGAAGAAAGAGATTAGGGCTGCTAAAAAGGTAACACAAGCATTACACCAACTCCCCCTTTGTTTTATATATGTATGTGTCTTTTCCATTGACTTTTTATTTTTATATGCATGTCATAGAGTGCAATTGGGGCTGGACCAAACAGCATAGGAAACAAAAAGTTTCCTCAAGAGCAAGAAGGTTGTCTGCCATTCAGCAAGCGCCCACAGCCACAGTCTTCCTCAGCTAAGCATTCCTCAGCTCAGCCATCCTCTAGTCAGCCATCCTCAGCTCAGCCTTCCTCAAGTCAGCCTGCCTCAAGCCAACCAAAAAGAAAGACAAGGTCTTCCTCAAGTCAGCCTACAACAGCCACAGGTGTTGTAACAAGGGCCAGGCTGCAATCCCTCAACAACCTTACTCAGTGATGTACTCATGCTGGATATCAAACATTATGTCTGTTGAACAATTTCAAACTTTTATTATGTACTCATGACTGGTTATGTAACTTGCTAGTTTTTTAGTGGCTTCCCTTAACAAATTTGAACAATTAGATATTGAATTGTAATGGTTGCATGGCTTTGATTGCCATTGAAACATGTTGAAGTAAGGTTCTTTTGTCAACCTGTACTTGAACTATCTTAGTGTTTCACATATTTCCCATGTTTTAATGTTTCACATGTTTAAATAGGTTGATTAAAAGACAAGGCATAAATAGGAACTTAGACAAGGCATAAATAGGTTGATTAAAAGACATATTTATAACACTTCAAGTCATTACAAGAAATTATAACTACTTAATACAGCTTACTATTACACACCCCTAGCCATTAGGAAAATTACACCCATTGACAAACCTATACAAATGGCCATGCCCACCCAACCAAAACAGCTGATTGAAGACACCTTCCCTTCATTGCACTCCCTGTTCATTCTCTTCCTGTCAGCGTTCAAGGCCTTGCATCTCATCTTCAAATTATCAACTTCATTAAGTAGGCACCTCCTTTGGCCACTGATTTCATCAACTTCCCTTTTCAATTCATTAACTTCACCCTTTAGCAGCTTCTTATCCAACAACAGGTTGTTGATAACCCCTGTTTGCCAATCTGTTCCATCAGGTTGATCAACCCATTCGAAAGCTTTGCAACCCCTTGTTTCTGTTATTGGGTCATAAAACTTACATGATATGAACTTCCTGCCTGGATTCTCCCTTGTCCAGCTAGTGAGCTTGGCCATTGGCACACCACACTTACATTTTCTGGCCTCAGGAGGGGAAGAGCTAACAAACGACATAATCTGCATCAATTTTAGATCGACAGTCACATTTACAGATTTGTACACTGACGAATTAACATTGACAGCAACAAAATTCATTTTTAATTTCATAATACGAAAAGCCCCAAATTCAATTTCTGACGAACCCTAATTTCGCAATTGGGCATTTAGATGCGTACATAACATAATCCAACCATTAATCTGAGTACGAAACAATTGCAAATAATAATTGAAGAGAATTTAAACCATAATTACCAAACAACCGAACAATTGACCGCACTCACCTGTTTCAGCAGCTTCAATCTGTTCCTCTTCTCAAAAATCGTGGAAGAATCGTGAAAGAATTGTTTCAAGTATCGTGCAACAATGCAATGCGCTGCTGCTATTCAATAAGAACAACGATTTCGTTCATTGGGGGAGAATCGTGCAAGAATGGTTCTTATATATCGTGCAAGAATCGTGGAAGAATGGTTCTTATATACAGATCTTTTAAAAATATATCCGTTGGGGTGGGCCCCACTAACAGTTCTGTTAACGGAAGATGGATTTTGGTGTTAACTTCCAACTTTTATATTTTTGGGAGGTGTTAAAATAAAAGTTTTTTTTTGGGGGGTGTTAAAAAACATTTTCAGCCTTTTGTAAGGTGTTAAAATCCAAAATATCCTTAATTTAATTACTTATTTTAATTCTTATTGCTAGTATCATGATTAGGTTAATTAATTATTCGATTTGATTAACATTATTATTGTTAAATTGCTTCCAATATTAATGTTTATTCTATAATATTTTTTATGATCACCATATTGCATGTTTAAAGGGAACATGTAATTGAAAATCACGCCTAATAAGATAATTTGGACAACCGGTTTAGGTTCCTTTTTAATCTTGTTATTAATTCAAGTGATCACAATATTTTAGAATTATGTGTTGCATTAATATTCAACCAATTTAGCATAACAATAGTATGGAGCAAATTGAATATTTTGTTTGTATGCGTTTGAGATCGCAGGAATCACTTTTCACTATAAGAATCGAGTAGAGGCCAATACAGGCGAATGTGACTTTATGACTCACTTCGTACCATCATCCCCGATCCTCCTTTCATGGTTCCGAACCATATGGAGTTAGTAATCTCATGAATTATGAATGGGGTGTAACCTTCACGGGTCAATCGTTGTTGCCTTTTGTTGTCCCTTTATTTGTGGTTACCTTTTATGATCCGTGAACGGTTTACAAGTTCCTTAAAAACTTGTTGGCGGCTCCCTACTTTGCTTTGTCCCTAATCGTATTATGTCAATTCCCACTTCCTATGAGTACCAAGCATATTCATACATGCTTTAATGTAGGCGCACTTCAAACGACGCCTACAATTTGGCGACTCCACTAGTAAGGATTCTTGGTTATTTATCGATTTTAGTGATCGGTATTTAATTAAGATGAGTGGATGAGACTTGAAAGATTATTGAAAATATTCCTGTGATTAAATTGGCATTTTTACATATGCATAGACGTTTTAACGTCATATCTCAGGTATGTCCTGTGTAGGAAAAATTGGATAACCCGTTCGTGAACGAAGAAAACAGAGGCACCGGTCAGATTTCCTGATTGCCGCGCCACGACAGAGCTGGGCACCGTCATGCGGTTTTTGGCACTGTGACACGGTAGATTTTGCCGTGTTGCGGCAGTCCTAAAATCTGTCCAGTGGCTTATTTCTCTTCTCACAGTCAACTTCCTTCGATTTTTATGAAAAAACGTGTGTGTTCTACATACGTCATAGCCCCGGGGGATTTAAGCTTTATCAATCTAAAAACGCTCATGGCAATAAGGGCTCATCCAAGTTTTTAAATCCACCCGAACCATGGAGTTGAGTTCGATTTCATCACGAACTCGCGGAGCCACCCGTTCGCATACACCCTCAAGGGAGGCTGCCTTGCTAACGCGTCCAAACTCTTAACCATGGTACTCTATTGACACCAAATAAACCTGACCATAGTCGAACATAGAACTTGACCTTAGGTTGCGAACTCTTCTTTGCATCATTGTGCCTACGTGTTCTATGTGTGCATATTTGATCGTTTTGATCCTAACCTCAACAATCTTTCTTTGTCTATGGTGGATTATTATATGACTAACGATTGCCAATGGACCGTACTCACTTAGTAATTAGCGCAAACTCTAAAATTGATAAAACTAAAAAAAACACAAAAATACCTGGAACTGATCACCGCGTCACAACAATCAATGCCGCGTCACGCCAATCAGTGCCGTGTCACGGCAGCTTGTACCTTGACACGGTACAGTTTGCCGTGTCACGGTGCCCAGGGAATAAGTACAGTTAGCTTTTTTTTGGTCTTCCGTGCTAATTTGGTCTGCGTGTCAGTCATTTTTGTTATGTCTAGCCATACGATCATACCACGAGTCTTATAACATCACTTAATCACTCACGAGTCAAGTATAGTCCACACACTTTCTTTATGTTCCGACTCGAGTCGTGCACCATGTCGTTTATGATCGTATACTAGGTTCATACACCTTTTTTTTCGTAATAATAAAAAAAATGAGTGAAGTTTATTCTCACCTGTTTTCAAATGTCTATTTTTTTCCCTTCCTTTCCTATTATGAGAAATGAGTCAAACAATTAAGTGAATTGCTTTATTTCACAGAACTTGGTCAAGGAGCAGGGGTAGATTAATACGGTTTGAGTCATTACAGCAACAATCTCTTAAATCCAAGAGGCGTTCAAAGAGAACTTCGCCATATCCACATTACTTATCACATTTCAATGGCCACTAAGGAAGATATTGAGAACATCAACAAATCCATCGAGGTACTGTCTGCCATGATGGAAACCCTTACCACTAGGGTCACTACCATGGAACAAAACAAGGTCACTGTTTCCACCCTTGACAAATTAAAGGAACATATGAGTAAGATTTCTGAGGATTTCACTTATGTGGAACAGTCTCCTACTCCTTTGGATGTGAAAGACAGGCTCCCTGAAAAGTTCTCCACAGCTAATATTCCAAATTTCAAGCCTACTGACAATCTAATATTCCATTTGAAAGCGTTCTCTGCAACCATGGCTCTTAAAGGATTGGACCTAACACTCTTCCCTACGGTGTTCCCCGTCTCCTTAGAATTGAACATGCTTGCCAACAATGGTTTTATTCCTTAGATGCCAAGCGTACCGCGACTTGGCAAGATGTCACTGACAGTTTCATGAATCGTTACAAGTGTAACATTCAAGCTAAAACTTCTGAACGTGAACTCTCCATTCTCAAACAGAAAGAGAATGAATGCTAAAGGCAAGTGTTCCAATGTCTCCGATATGAACATGTCTCAAATTGCGTCTCTATCGAGTGCTTGGTATCGTGCCTGAGAAACATGAATGTTAAGTGAGTGATGGACCGCATGATTTGAGATTGCCTAAATTGATTCACAAGAATGAAAAAAAGAAAAAAAAAATTCAAAACAAAAAATATATATGAAAAATAAAACTTGCAAAGTCTAATACACAATTGCATATCTTGGGGGCTTCTCTCGGGTCTTGAGCCTTTTACCCCTTTCTTCCTTAAACCTTCATCTTAACTACATTACAACCCTCGACAGACCTCTTTGAGGTGTACACACACTTGTGCAAAGTTCGGCTAGAGCTATGTTGGCCTGATTCCTAACGGATACGTAGGCAACCTCACATCGAGGTGCAGCCACTTTCATATTCACATTTATATTCATATCCATGCTTGATTGAGTCAAAGAATACCCAATTCTTACCCCTATCCATCTAGAGTTAGACTTGGGGGCTTGAACCCATATCATTTAACCTACCTAATTGTGGGTGGAGATTAGGTCGTTGAAAACTAATCTTCCCTTGGTCAAACAAAATTTGTAATCTCTCAACACACCCTTATACCTAGCATTGGAGTAAGTCGAGGGTCGAACCACTAGGAATGGGAGATGAATGATAATGCTAAAGTTAAGCTAGCTTGAAGTAATGAAGTAGTAATGAAGTAAGGTCTGTATATTCTAAGCAATCAAACAATCAAGAAGAAATCAAATAATATCGAAATGGATACAACTAATTGGGATTGGAGATGAGTAAGTCGAGTGTTGCGAGGGAAAATCAATAAAGAAATCAAGAGAGTATGGTAGGCTAATCTCCTAGAGGTCAAGCTAGCGTCAACTACGAGATACTCTAACTAGGAACCTTGCAAACCTACTCAATCGACAAAAGCAAGCCACAAATCAATTTTCCGTATCAATGTGAGCTTACAATGCATTATAGTGTAACAATCAAAGTTAGCTACTCTTCAATTAATCACACACATGCACTTA